TAGTGTAGGAAATATTGAACATTAGGTGTAGACAAGAAGTATATATTGTGTTAAGCATCGGATGTGTAATAAGTAAAATACTGTGAATCAAACTGATATTCGAGTTGTCTTATTTACTGTACGGATATGAGAGTTCTCGTCCTCGTCACCGTAGTTTTAACTATATGTGGAAACTAGTAGAAGAATAACAAGAAGAATAAAGAAAGCAAGCAATTTCCCCCCACCACATATTGGTGGAGCACAGTGGTTCGTAATCCGTACAGAAGTGTTGTTGAACATTCGATCTGACCAGAAGTGATGGTTGCAACATATTGTGTCTATCAGAAGTGCTACAAGTTATCGCAAGGAAGCAAAGATAAGTACCTTCCTCTAATTTTATTCAAATAACAGGGATTTTAGATCCTGTGCTGGATATTATACCAGTATTTTTGTTTATTGTTTTGTATTTGTCTATCAGTAATTAGCGTTTATAGGTTTGTTACTCTTAAATTGGCTGAGGCTTCCTAATTATAGGACACTTTGGGTGTAGGCCTGCTATTTAAGAGGTACATTTTATAATTAGCTGTATCACGTAATGTTCGCATTATCGTGTCTATAGTGCTGCTCCCAGCATTTTTTTTTCTCTTTATAACCTGTCACGTGTTACGTACTGTGGTAGGCTACATCTATCTTACTCTCGCCCATTTATGTGTATCGTCCTGTTCAGTTAATGTTATTTTGTTACTCTCTTTTTCCCCACACATCACCTTTATTACACCACACTAAGACATGCCTCCATTTAACGAACTTCTAAATAGAACTAAGCCCGAGTTAGGCTTAGAGCATACCATTGGAGACTCGTCGCTGAAGAAAAGCAAAAATGGGAAGCAAGACAAAGTTGTCGATGAAGATAAATTATTTGAGTTAGTCCAATTAAGACTTTTAGAGGATGCAGAACAGGAAAGACAATGTCAAATGGCGTTAGCTCATTATAGAGTTCAACTGGAGGCCAAACGAGAAGAAGAATCCGTTCAAGCTAAAGCTAAGTTAGATGAGAAAAAACGTGAGGCAGAAGTTGAATTTAATTTTGCCGAGGCTCGGAAAGAACAAGAAAAAGAATCAGAACTTCGTAGAGCCGAGAATAAAAAAGAATTTGAACTTTTTAAAGCAGAGATTGAAAAACAAACTGAACTTGAAATAAGTAAAATGAGACTACAAGTAGAAATAAGACGAAAAGAAGTAGAAGAAGAACTACGTCAATATAAATTAAAGTTAGAGAATCGGTCACAGCAACCTAAACACCATGAGTCAACGCTACAACAAAAAGCAGAGCTACCTAGATCTACTTATGAATATTACTACGATTCAGATGACTCATACAGTGAATCAGAGAGCAAGCCTACTACAAAAATTGATACGCCACACTCAGTTAAAGAAGATACCACAACAGACCACAACATGCAGATGAACTATTTGCGACAAAAGAACTACTACAATGTTCGATGCTACTACTGTAATAGACCAGGTCATAAAAAGATAAATTGTAAAAAACTATATTATGATAGACTCCAGCGGAATATAGAGCAGAATAGACGTCAATACAAGAGACCAATTTATAGATCAGCATACATGACATCTTTTAGTGAAGCCAGCAACAGGAAAGACACATTTACAGCCAAGATTAATAACAGATTTGCACGAGCTATAAGAGACACAAGATGCTCTACAATAGCGGTTAGAAGCTGCTTTGTTAGACGACATCAATACACAGGCAGAACACAACATGTCCAGAGTTCACGAGGCATAACATATGTTTGGCCAACAGCTATAATCCAGATTAGCACGCCATCAGCAACAAGAACAGTAGAAGCTGTTGTGTTTAGATATGGTCCACACGATCTGATCCTAGGCAACATCAGAGGTGTCAAACTATTTCAAGTTGAAAATGACATAAATCACACAACACAAGTAAGAAGCGAACAGATCAACACACAAAGTTCTATCAAACCGGTAAACAGAACGATGTACGATCTACAAAGGAGTAATAATTTGGTGTTAGACATGAACACAGGAGTTATTGAAGAGTTGTCTAAAAAAATCACAGAAATCGGCTCAGTTGTTCTCAGTTTGAGAAAACAGAATGATCAACTTAATGACAGATTGCTCAGATTAGAGAAAAAAGTCAACAATGAAAATGAAGAATATGTCCTAAATAATTCAATTGGTGAGACAGCTTACTACTATTCCTGGTCAGCACTTAATCAGATAATGTCAGGAGCACAAGAAACTACAGAGCCAAAAGAAATGACCTGCACACGAGTACAAGACAAACGACGGACCTGTTCAACCCTAACCTTAACCTAGCGCCCCATGTGCTTTACCCCGTGACGGATAGAACTTGGACCACGCACACCCCCTTACGAACGGTTTTGAACAACGTTTACACAATGATTAACAAGTAAAGTAAATTCAAGTTATCAAACAGTATGATATAAGTCGTCGAAAATATCGGCGTGAAACGATGGGTCACTTTTGATGTTACAGAAAGAAGATGTCATTACATAGTATAATGAGAGTTGCTCCATTATAACCATAAAGAGAAGAATGTCTTAAAGTTTCCATGAGAAGTTGAATATTTATGATTATGCACAGTCTACAGTCACAGGCAGAGAGCTGCTCCTGCACTACAGATATGTGACACGCAAAGCACACATGTCTTTTCTTTATTTGTATCTAATCTAATTCTGTTGGAAGACCAATTATGTAGTTGATGATTATTATAATGTAGTTAGTATTATTGTTGATGATTATAATGTAGTTACCATTGTTGTTGTTATGTAGTGTGTCGTGGACAAATAACCAGCACATCAAAATTTGGTGGGATTATTTTTTATATAAGAGGAAGGTTATTTGTCTGACGGGCACAAACGTCGCTAACGAGGCATATGTTTAACACGACGTGTCAATTCATATTTTATCAGAAACAACCATGAGAGACAGTCTGATGTGACGTATCCTTGCGCTGCCGCCCTCGCCAATGTCACCGTAAAACTAACTCGTCGTCAACAAACACCACGCCTCTAAATTTGCTACAGCAAACGACAGCACATTTACAAGGACAAATACACCAGATCAACACATCGACAGGAGCAGTTCATCATATCAACACATCGACAGGAGCAGTTCACCAGATCAACACATCGACAGGAGCAGTTCATCAGATCAACACATCGACTGGACAAGCAGAAACAGAACTTTGTGAAATATCTTTTAAGCCTGAGAATCCTTGCGCACGGTCGCGTTCAGTTGTTCGACCAAGCCGCAACGGTCAATTAAGTGTGGGTATCAGTGAAAAAAAAAAATTCATAGGGATCAATCAATCAAAGCTTAATGAAGACAACGGATGTTCAAGAACTGTGACATTACTTGATTGTTGAAATGTATTATTATGTAAATTACTATATTATGAGTGTATTGATATAATATGTACTTTATTCATCGTCGTATGTTACACAGTTATTGATACAAGTTACTGCCTATAGAAAAAAAGCTAATATAATTAGCTTTTTATTTGAAAGGGGGGAGGAATATGTGGTGGCGTAGATGCAGGTGTAGGATAGACAGTGTACGTGACGGAGACGATCGACGAAGCACGGGTTAGAATTAGATTGTAATTACGGGCGACATCATTGTGGGGGGTAGGTGTAGCAGACACGTATCTAGTTAGCCTTGGTGACCGGAATGGGGGTAGTTTATTAGCAGGGTCTGACATTTTAATCAGGTACGACAGAACTGTGGCGACATGCAAATTAGGTTAGACCGGATGGGGAAGACAAAGAAGTGAGGACGATGAGGGTTAGGAGACAGTTGAATCTAGCAGTCGAGGTTGAGACTTTGTAGTTAGAGGACGGATACAAGTGTAGAGTTAGGGAACAGCGTAGGGACAATAGTGTAGGAAATATTGAACATTAGGTGTAGACAAGAAGTATATATTGTGTTAAGCATCGGATGTGTAATAAGTAAAATACTGTGAATCAAACTGATATTCGAGTTGTCTTATTTACTGTACGGATATGAGAGTTCTCGTCCTCGTCACCGTAGTTTTAACTATATGTGGAAACTAGTAGAAGAATAACAAGAAGAATAAAGAAAGCAAGCAATTTCCCCCCACCACAGTCAGGATTAAGGTCAGCTCGACCTATAGAATTAAACAGTTTTATTTTCTTCAGTTAAAGCGTTTGTCGCTAAGGTGTGTTGAAGAAATTTCATGAAGCTACACTTTTGCTCAGTGAAAGAAAGAATATAAAGCGCGAAAACTATTAGGATTATCGTACAAAATATTCATCTTTCGCTGATTACACTAAGTAATATAATCAAGTAGATTAAAACATTCAGCGGCTGATCTAGTCACAGTATCCTACAAGATAGTCACACAGTATCCTACAAAATAGGGATAGATTATCCTACAACATTGCCCCATACTAGGGATGTATCCTGAAAGCTAAATATGACCGCGGATTGAGGGTTCTATCAATATAATGTTTAAATGCCGCTATACGCGTTTTGATTGGTTAGCCTTTGATTTATTTCTACACTGATTGGCTAGCTTATTTTATACCTTAAAGCTGATTGGTTAGTTTTTAGTTTTTTTTTTATTTTTTTTTTGGTATCTCTATTTGAACTTGTTTTGTTCTATGGCTTTATCATCACAGATATACATTTTTTTTTCAACTGCATTAAAACGAAAAAAACATGTACAAAGAACGAAACAAGAAAAGTTGATTACAACGCTTTAAGGATGCCGCGTAAATTGTCAAAGGTATTTGTGTTTTTCAAACATTGTCTTCGCAAAACTTTTTTTCTCTGAAGCTTGATCGGTGCTTTGCTCCTGTGGTACTGAAGCAAGCTCGTAAACAGTTTTTTTCTGTTTGAAAACAATCATGCAGCTGATCGCATTTGTTTTGTCCCCGAGGGCAGGGAATTAGGGTGGGGCGTTATGTCACACCATGGGGTATGGGGGGGGGGGGGGGGGGTGACGTCGAAGGATTTTTGTAGTCAGACTTGAGACGGTTAAGGTTCCGGAATTTCCAGCAAGTAGTCAGCGTAGAGTCGCCCTCGGCATACGCTACTCCTCCCTAAACTATCCATCTCTTCCTGCTTTACACAAGAATTACCGGCTGTGAACTGGAGCGTGACCACGGCCTTTCGTCTGCAAACATAACAAACTGTATAAAAATAGATTTTAATTAACGAAAAACGGCCCTGGAATTTCGCTTCGTCTTTAGAAAGATTGTCAGCAGCAACAGTTGACATGGCTTCCTGGTACAGATGTGTGGTGCCGTGGGCGGTCAGGCGTGAAACAGACATGCACCGCTGGTAGGTAACACATTAGACCAGACCAGACGACTTGATAACAACAACATTGGTGTTTCACTCATTCTTTTCTGTGTCAACACGAAGGTCTAGGTGTCCCAAAAGTTCTAGTGGTCAAGAACAGTCTAAAGCTTCACAAATGTTCTGCAGGTCGCAAAAGTTCTAGACATCTCCAAATGTTCTAGATGTTATCGATTGTTCTAGATGATCTCGAATGTTCTAAAGGTTGCCGTCGCTATGATTGGACTCCTCTGTAGACTGCCGCTGACGTAGGCAACACTTGCCGTTACTGCTGGTGGGCAGGGTCACGTGTTCCAGCAGTGAGTACCACTGGGCCACGGGCTTCCTCGGGCTCTCCAGCATCTCGTACCAGTGCTCACGACCTTGACCGTTGATCTTCGGCCCCATGGCCACACACCCCATCAACTCGTCGCTGCCGATCCTGTGGAGGAAGGTAAGATGACGTCACTGACTGTTGCATGTAACACGGCGTCCTTCATATCACCCTAGTCAAATTATCCTAAACTAAATGACCCCAAAAAGTTACATTAAGTAACTGAGCCAAATGACCAGTAATAAATGACCCTCAAAAAGCCTAAATAACCCTCAGAAAATACCAAAAAATAAACCCCACCCAATGACACCAGGTAATCAAACCCCACACAAGACAAAAGGCAACTGACCCCCACACAAGACAACTGACCCCCACACAAGACAACTGACCCCCACACAAGACAACTGACCCCCACAAAAGACACAAGACAACTGACCCCCACACAAGACAACTGACCCCCACACAAGACAACTGACCCCCACACAAGACAACTGACCCCCACACAAGACAACTGACCCCCACACAAGACACAAGACAACTGACCCCCACACAAGACAATGGTCCCCACACAAGACAACTGACCCCCACACAAGACAACTGACCCCAACACAAGACAACTGACCCCCACAAAAGACAACTGACCCCCACGAACACGACCCCTCCACCACGTGACGTACGACCCCTGCCACGTGACGTACGACCCCTGCCCTGTGACCCCACTGACCTGTCGTAGTCCACCAGCTTGACGACCAGATAGACGTCCTCCACACTCTCCTGCGGGACGTCAAACACCAGCGCCTCGTTGAACACCGGGTTGAGCGTGTTCCTCTGGACGGACGTCTTCCTCTTCTTGATGCGCCGCCCCTGGCACATCAGACACACCTTGACGTACGGGTCTGGAACAGGTGGAACACGTCAATGTGTGACGTCAAACAAAACATGTCTGACATCATGTCAGCTGGTGTTAATAAAATGGTGGGATGTTAGGGGAGGGGGGGTGTTTAACTTCCAGATGTCACACTTGAGGTACAACCCATGTTTACAATGTCAACTTACAACCTTTGTTTATAAATGTCAACTTACAACCTTTGTTTATAAATGTCAACTTACAACCTTTGTTTATAAATGTCAACTTACAAGCCATAAGTATAAATGTCAAGTTACAACCCATAAGTATAAATGTCAAGTTACAACCCATAAATATAAATGTCAAGTTACAACCCATAAGTATAAATGTCAAGTTACAACCCATAAGTATAAATGTCAAGTTACAACCCACAAGTATAAATGTCAACTTACAACCCATAAGTATAAATGTCAAGTTACAACCCATAAGTATAAATGTCACGTTACAACCCATAAGTATAAATGTCAACTTACAACCCATAAGTATAAATGTCAAGTTACAACCCATAAGTATAAATGTCAAGATACAACCCATAAGTATAAATGTCAAGTCACAACCCATAAGTATAAATGTCAAGATACAACCCATAAGTATAAATGTCAAGTCACAACCCATAAGTATAAATGTCAAGATACAACCCATAAATATAAATGACAATTTAGAGCCCATGTCTAGAAGATGTCAAGGTTCAAGCCATGTCGATAAAATGCTAAGTTACAACTACAACTATTAATGACAAGTTATAGCCCATGCCTATAAATGTGAAGCTACAATCCAGCTACGTGCTTGCATTCATCAAGTTCATAAAGTGTAACAAACGTTAGTCCAGAGAACGGGTTGTGTAACATCAAAATTTATCTTGTAAGGGACATAACTTGAACATCACCGATACAAGGGACATGACTCAAATATTACCGTATTAAAATCATTTGCATGAGTAGCCCCGCTTTATTTACAAAATTTAAAAAAAATCCTAGAATGGTGATTTAAAAATGTAAATGACCGTCTTTAAATGCAGATATCCTTACAAGAAAGTGTTTAACATATGCATTTTTTCTGTATTCTGAAAGTGGAGCGAAGGATTTCTTTAACGGCCATTTTGATCTTTATATAATCATTATTGTGGTCGATGTTCTAGCCCCCCCCCCCCCCCCCCTATTTCAACCCTCGTCGTCATCGGCACAAGTCAGATTCTCCCGTCACTACCCCCCCCCCCACCCCCCGGAACGCAGCCCCATACACCACCATATGGACGACCACGCCTTAAATTTAGCACCAGAATACGTGTATGTCACACAAACATACAACATTAACATACACCAATATGTTAACGTTCAAACGGTACTGCAAGTGATAACACCCCACCCCCAAACAATAAAGAAAAGCGCGGGTCTCGTCCTAAATATTAGTAAAGATATCCAATAGATAATATAGTGACCCACGGTTTTCTTGTTTGTTATATAAATAGTAATGCATGATTATATATATAAAGAAAATGTGTCTATTTTATCCTTTGCATAATTACATAAAAGCATGTTATTAAAACGTTTTTTTTTAATCAGATTTATTTGTGTGCCCGCGGTGTCCCGTACAAAATTAATCTGATGATAGATCAGTTTGTAAACAAGTCGCAGCCAAACAAGCAAGAAAAAAAAATGAACACTCCCTATTAACAGAATGAATGTCGTTTAATATTTATGTGCCCTCCAACTGAAGCACAAAGCAATCGATAAAATTGTTGTGGCGGTGAAGATTCAAACTAGACTCCTGTCAAGGGAGTGACGGACACCAGAAGCTTAGGATGGCTCCAAATTTGTTCCCACCGGATGTGTTGGGCAGAGTTCATTAGTGGTGGATGTCGGGTGGGGCGGGAGGGGGAGGGGGGTGATACATGGCTAAGAAGTTTATACGGCTGAGTGGATGGTCGGAAATAAGGTCACGTGAGATGAGGGTATTTGGTTGATCCGGCAAATTTATGCAACCCAAAAAGAATAAGATTATCACGTGAGGATGCAAAAAAAAAAATATAAAAAATTATAGAAATATCTGTTTGGTTAATTAAGTTTTTTGCTTCGGATATTTGAGCTGATTAAAAAAAAACACATTACAAATTTTTAACGCTTTTTTTGCGATTGATTCGGTTGGAATGCAACCAGAGCCGTAGGCAATACACACACACACACACACACACACACACATATATATATATATATATATATATATATATATATATATATATATATATATATATATATATATATATATATATATTCAATAATATTTTAAGAAGGTAAATGTCCGGTTTTTAATACCTTTAAACTTTAAAAATATTTTTTTTAAATAAAAAACGACACGAGAACTATTGACTGGACATGGTTTACGGTTATCGGAGTGTGTGTGGGGGGGGGGGATTCTAACACCTTAACACCAACACTGACTATGCTATCAAGATTCTTCCCCCTCCCCACCTTCCCAAAAAATCTTAAGTTTTTATCAGTGGAATGTCGATTGGATAATTTATGGTGTCTTTGTCCTAATGTGTCTGACCTCGCACTATTGATGTCTTTGAATGTCTTAATGTGTCTCGCCGTGATGTCTTTGAATGTCTTAATGTGTCTGGTCGTGATGTCTTTGAATGTCTTAATGTGTCTCACCGTGATGTCTTTGAATGTCTTAATGTGTCTCACCGTGATGTCTTTGAATGTCTTAATGTGTCTTGTCGTGATGTCTTTGAATGTCTTAATGTGTCTTGCCGTGATGTCTTTGAATGTCTTAATGTGTCTGACACAGTCTGACAGTTGAAGACGTTTGCTGGCAATGAATACCAGGTCACTTCGTGCGTGCCTTTATGCCTTAAACGCTTCCGTGCGGCAAAATGTCTTGGCACTCCTAATAATGGATTTCCGGGCGATATGAGTACACACTTTAGCGCTGTGGGTATCGATGCCAAATGAAGAAGTTAGGGCGATATGAGTACACACTTTAGCGCTGTGGGTATCGATGCCAAATGAAGAAGTTAGGGCGATATGAGTACAAAGTTTAGCGCTGTGGGTATCGATGCCTAATGAAGAAGTTAGGGCGATATGAGTACAAAGTTTAGCGCTGTGGGTATCGATGCCAAATGAAGAAGTTAGGGCGATATGAGTACACAGTTTAGCGCTGTGGGTATCGATGCCAAATGAAGAAGTTAGGGCGATACGAGTACAAAGTTTAGCGCTGTGGGTATCGATGCCAAATGAAGAAGTTAGGGCGATATGAGTACAAAGTTTAGCGCTGTGGGTATCGATGCCAAATAACGAAAGTTATTGACTACTGAAAACAACATCAGGAAACCAGAAACATCAAAACATAAGAAACATAAAACATAAAAACATCAAAACATAAGAAACAAAACAAAACCCACTGAAAACATAAGAAAGACTAGAATGAACAGAAAAACAATTAGATCAAAAAGACCATAAATAGAAAAGACATCAGCACCTTTCATTCCAACCCAGACCACCAAGAGTTTTAATTATGTGTGAAACGGAAAAAAATCCCTCAACCGAAAGACGTTTTAAATCTAGGTCAAGTGTAGCCCGGCCCACTTTCTGGAATAAAAACTTTCAAATTTGGGGAAAAAACGGACCAGCGGAGTTTGAGAGGTTTCCGCTCATAAGCCGGACTTCCTGTTTTGTTTCAGGCGGACATTTTGTCACGTGATATTTAGCCTGACCGCTAGTTCAATCCTCCAACCTTCCTTTAACTCGATTAACTAAGAAAATTATCGTTTAGTTGATGCACTTGGAAGGTTGTTTTCTTAAGTTTTTCTGGGTTTTATTTCTTTGTAATTTAAAAAAATAAAGCTGGAGTGATCTCCGCTAAACTTTCTCGAATATTCTTATATAACACTAATCAATTCTTAAGCACAAAAACTTTTCAAATAGAAAAGAATCTTGTAGAAATAGAATTTCTCACCACATTGGCTGGCATATTGTTTTCTTCAACTCAAATCTTTTGCTGTGTTACACCTGACGAATGGAACTTATCAAATGTTCAAACGATTGGACACCCCCACCCCTCAACTTCCCCCCCCCCCCCGGCCCCTCTGTACCCAGTAGTAGGACAGTTGAGCGAAGAAAGATTCCAGAATTGCAAATTGTTCTCACGATCAAGCCGCCATGACAGGGGATGCTTGGCATCGTCTGCTTTAAAAACTGACAGCTCGTAGTGCATTCTGGGTCGTCAGATGTACGGGGTGTGTACATGTGTTGTGAGGTGTACGTAAGGTGTACGGGGTGTACGGGTGTATACGGTGTTTGTACGGTGTGTGTACAGGTGTGTACATGGGTGTGTACAATTGGGGTTGAGGTGTACGGTGTATGTACGGGGCGTGTAAGGGTGTGTACGGGTAGTGAGGTGTACGGGTGCATCACTCGTCCTATTTTTGACTTGCCCCAACCTGTGTAAATTATTCTCGAGACGCTGGCCGAATGACAGGCTCTGATTGCACACACAAACATGGAGAGTCAGGTTAATCCACTAGGATTAGCGGCTTATCTCTCTTCTCGTCTTTGTATTAAGAAGGCAGAGTAGACATAAACAACAACAGTCACGTGAGTGTGGACGTCTGGGTGTTAAAGTACACTGGGCCAAACGTAGACACTTCATGTTTTAAAGACATGTTTGAAGACATGTTTTATGCATGGGGAACTTGAGAAGGGAGGGGCGGGGGCAGCCAACCCTAGACCCGGGTAGTCCCCAGCCAACCCTAGACCCGGGTTGTCCCCAGCCAACCCTAGACCCGGGTTGTCCCCAGCCAACCCTAGACCCCTGTTGTCCCCAGCCAACCCTAGACCCGGGTTGTCCCCTACAACCGGGTTAACCCCACCCACCTAACGCTAATCTTTAGCGCCTCATTCCACACGAGCCATTATGCCCCTCTAACTATTGATTAGATTCATTAAGTCGTCAAACAGTTAACTTAGAAGCTTAATTAATCACAAGTCAGAGAAAGTAGTCGATACCACGTGTTCTTGGCTAGAAGACATTTGATTGGCTAGCACGTTTCAACTTCCGATTGTCATCTGACCAACGCCCTTTGACGCACGAGGCATCCACAAGTGAGCAGTGTTTCTTCCAGACTTTTTTCTCCGGGGGGGGGCACTTGAAATTTTCGGGGGGGGGGGGGCGGTAGACTTTCTTCGGTGGGCGGACTCTGTTAAAAGTACATATTTTCTATATAAATTATATAAATTTCATTTCGTTCGGGGGGCGGTAGAAATTTTTCGAGGGGGGGGGGGCTTACAGCCCCCCCCCCCCGAAGAGATGCCTGGAAGAAACTCTGCATGTGAGCACCATTTCCTGCTGCCTCTAGTTAAAACCTCTGCCTGTCTGTCTCCATCTAGAAACCCTGTCTGTTGGAATGTGAGGCCGTTTTCGGTCAACACTTCCTCCGTTGATCTTCTCCAACTTTCTTATAGCCGTCCACGTTTCTCTAGCCCTGTGGTGTTCATCTGAGAGTAGTGCTACACAATGTGTCTGCTCTCATTCTTAGCACTTGGGCCAATATTGTCCATCTCCTGTGTTTGATAACTACAGCTAAATGTTGAATAAGCTTTAACTTCTAATTTAAGATGGTCTTTGGCCAGATGATTCTCATCAGTAGAGCTGTATGTAATGGGTAAGCACAGTACTTTAAACCTAGGTAATTAGGCTTATTTTTCATGATGTCCATCTATTATTTAGCATACTAAACGATTGGCCAGTTCCCATATTCTATGACTGATATCTTTGAAGCAAGTCACACCATCTGTGATTACTCCCTCAGTTTGTCTTCTAACCTGAGTGGTACAATAGACTTTGGTGTTCATTTTAAGACCTATCTTTACAACATGCTGTGCCAAGCTATTTCAATGTCCTGGTTAATGATAGCAGACGTACAATATGTTGTCAGCAGACGTACAAGGATGTTTCTTAAAACCCCCCGTCTATCAATATCATACCTGTGCAAAAGCATGAAGTCCAACTTTATTAGGAAGATGTGTACAAGATGTGTACAAGAATGTGTACAGGAATGTGCACAAGATGTGTACAAGATGTGTACAAGATGTGTACAAGATGTGTACAAGATGTGTACAAGATGTGTACAATATGTGTACAAGATGTGTACAAGAATATGAACAAGATGTGTACAAGATGTGTACAAGATGTGTACAAGATGTGTACAAGATGTGTACAAGAGGTGTACACTAATGTGTACAATAATGTGTACAAGATATGTACAAGAATTTGTACAAGAATCTGTACCGTTAGCATGGCCTTAGTCACGTGGTTTATCGAGATGACCTTCACGCACATACACAAGGGCATTGATCAAAACAACTAGTCCAGCTATCCCCCCCCCCCCCACACACACACACCAGGGTAAATTTCAGCCCAACAAAGCGCCCGAGACATTTGGATGAAATCGGTATTGACCGCGCTTAAATGGCGACAATTTTCACACGTTCGTCGACATACGTCGTCTCAGACAACAGCGCTTCGATTTATTTGCCGAATCAAATGGTGTTGACATATTAAACGTGGCGGAGGGGAACTATTTGAGGTCTAGTTTCACCTTCCAGCTAGAAACTATTTGAGGTCTAGTTTCACCATCCAGCTAGTTACACTGAAACTATTTGAGGTCTAGTTTCACCTTCCAGCTAGAAACTATTTGAGGTCTAGTTTCACCATCCAGCTAGTTACACTGAAACTATTAGAGGTCTAGTTTCACCTTCCAGCTAGAAACTATTTGAGGTCTAGTTTCACCATCTAGCTAGAAACTATTTGTGGTCTAGTTTCACCTTCCAGCTAGAAACTATTTGTGGTCTAGTTTCACCTTCCAGCTAGAAACTATTTGAGGTCTAGTTTCACCTTCCAGCTAGGTACTCTGAAACTATTTGAGGTCTAGTTTCACCATCCAGCTAGTTACACTGAAACTATTTGAGGTCTAATTTCGCCATCCAGCTAGTTACACTGAATCTATTTGAGGTCTAGTTTCGCCATCCAGCTAGAAACTATTTGAGGTCTAGTTTCGCCATCCAGCTAGTTACACTGAATCTATTTGAGGTCTAGTTTCGCCATCCAGCTAGAAACTATTTGAGGTCTAGTTTCACAATCCAGCTAGCTACAATGAAACTATTCGAGGTCTAGTTTCGCCATCCAGCTAGAAACTATTTGAGGTCTAGTTTCGCCATCCAGCTAGTTACACTGAATCTATTTAAGGTCTAGTTTCGCCATCCAGCTAGTTACACTGAAACTATTTGAGGTCTAGTTTCGCCATCCAGCTAGTTACACTGAATCTATTTAAGGTCTAGTTTCGCCATCCAGCTAGAAACTATTTGAGGTCTAGTTTCGCCATCCAGCTAGTTCCACTGAAACTATTTGTGGTCTAGTTTCACCATCCAGCTAGAAACTATTCGAGGTCTAGTTTCGCCATCCAGCTAGTTACACTGAAACTATTTGAGGTCTAGTTTCGCCATCCAGCTAGAAACTATTTGAGGTCTAGTTTCGCCATCCAGCTAGAAACTATTTGAGGTCTAGTTTCGCCATCCAGCTAGAAACTATTTGAGGTCTAGTTTCGCCATCCAGCTAGAAACTATTTGAGGTCTAGTTTCGCCATCCAGCTAGAAACTATTTGAGGTCTAGTTTCGCCATCCAGCTTGTTCCACTGAAACTATTTGAGGTCTAGTTTCGCCATCCAGCTAGAATCTATTTGAGGTCTAGTTTCGCCATCCAGCTAGAAACTATTTGAGGTCTAGTTTCGCCATCCAGCTTGTTCCACTGAAACTATTTGAGGTCTAGTTTCGCCATCCAGCTAGAATCTATTTGAGGTCTAGTTTCGCCATCCAGCTGGAAACTATTTGAGGTCTAGTTTCGCCATCCAGCTAGAAACTATTTGAGGTCTAGTTTCGCCATCCAGCTAGAAACTATTTGAGGTCTAGTTTCGCCATCCAGCTAGAAACTATTTGAGGTCTAGTTTCGCCATCCAGCTAGAAACTATTTGAGGTCTAGTTTCGCCATCCAGCTAGAAACTATTTGAGGTCTAGTTTCGCCATCCAGCTTGTTCCACTGAAACTATTTGAGGTCTAGTTTCGCCATCCAGCTAGAATCTATTTGAGGTCTAGTTTCGCCATCCAGCTAGAAACTATTTGAGGTCTAGTTTCGCCATCCAGCTTGTTCCACTGAAACTATTTGAGGTCTAGTTTCGCCATCCAGCTAGAATCTATTTGAGGTCTAGTTTCGCCATCCAGCTAGAAACTATTTGAGGTCTAGTTTCGCCACCCAGCTATCATATAAATAGTCCATTCTATGTTGGTCTAGACATTGGCTCATACATTTCAAAAAAATTCACCTCCATTAGTAAATTACTCCCCCATGAGAGTACTTATATAAGTTTTTGATCCAAGTGTTGGTTTTTGTAAACTGTCGTGGGGGTGGGGGTGGGGGGGGGGGGGGATTAAAGATATCGTGATGGTACCGCCGTGAGTGTAACGTTTATCTTTGCTTGTTTTCTCAATCAATGGCTCACAACACTAAATGGGGTAATGACTCAAACGAAGAGGTGGGGGGGGACATGTGTCAAACCTTAAACAGTGTGTTATGGTGTGTAGTCCTGGCTAAATGACCTTCAGTTGACCACCACCACCCACCCCCACACACACATACTTTTAATGTCCATTACATATGTTGGCTGGCCTGATCATTTCCTTTACCCCCCCCCCCCCCCCACATAACATGGGTCTCATTTAAAGAGTTGTAGGCTACAAATTGTGTTTGGATTTATACAAACATGGGTCTGTTATGTACAGATATGGGTCATGTGAATACAAACATGGGTCTGTTATGTACAGATATGGGTCAGATGAATACAAACATGGGTCTGTTATGTACAGATATGTGTCGGGTGAAAAGACAGGGGTCGGGTGAATACAAACAGGGGTCGGGGTCTCTAGCATGTAAAACTACCTTAGTCTGGAGCCAATGAAAACAGCGTGATACATGAACTGACAGGATACATGAACTGACAGGATACATGAACTGACAGGAAACGAACACCATTAGCACTTACCGGCATAACCGGTTATGTCCATAGCTTTAAGGTTCCTAGCCTTGACGACCGTGAGTGTCAGCCGGCCAGCCGTGGGCAGGTAGCAGAGGGAGAGCATCAGGTCTCCGATGTCAGCTTTCTCCTGAAATGGTAGGGTTGGCTGGTCAGTGGTTGGCTGAGGGTTGGCTGGTCAGTGGTTGTCTGAGGGTTGGCTAGTCAGTGGTTGGCTGGTCAGTGGTTGTCTAAGGGTTGGCTGGTCAGTGGTTGGCTGGTCAGTGGTTGGCTGAGGGTTGGTCTGAGGGTTGGCTAGTCAGTGGTTGGCTGGGGGTTGGCTAGTCAGTGGTTGGCTGGTCAGTGGTTGTCTAAGGGTTGGCTGGTCAGTGGTTGGCTGGTCAGTGGTTGGCTGAGGGTTGGTCTGAGGGTTGGCTGGTCAGTGGTTGGCTGGGGGTTGGCTAGTCAGTAGTTGTCTGAGGGTTGGCTGGTCAGTGGTTATCTGAGGGTTGGCTAGTCAGTGGTTGTCTGAGGGTTGGCTGGTCAGTGGTTGGCTGGGGGTTGGCTAGTCAGTGGTTGTATGAAGGTTGGCTGGTCAGTGGTTGTCTGAGGGTTGGCTAGTCAGTGGTTGTATGAAGGTTGGCTAGTCAGTGGTTGTCTGAGGGTTGGCTAGTCAGTGGTTGTATGAAGGTTGGCTAGTCAGTGGTTATCTGAGGGTTGGCTAGTCAGTGGTTGTATGAGGGTTGGCTGGTCTGTGGTTGTATGAAGGTTGGCTGGTCTGTGGTTGTATGAAGGTTGGCTGGTCAGTGGTTATCTGAGGGTTGGCTAGTCTGTGGTTGTATGAGGGTTGTCTAAGGGTTGGCTGGTCTGAGGGTTGGCTGGTCTGAGGGTTGGCTGGTCAGTGGTTGGCTGGGGGTTGGCTGGTCAGTGGTTGGCTGGGGGTTGGCTGGTCAGTGGTTGTCTGAGGGTTGGCTGGTCAGTGGTTGTCTGAGGGTTGGCTGGTCAGTGGTTGTATGAGGGTTGTCTGAGGGTTGGCTGGTCAGTGGGTGGCTAAGGGTTGGCTGGTCTGAGGGTTGGCTGGTCAGTGGTTGGCTGAGGGTTGGTCTGAGGGTTGGCTAGTCAGTGGTTATCTGAGGGTTGGCTAGTCAGTGGTTGTCTGAGGGTTGGCTAGTCAGTGGTTGTCTGAGGGTTGGCTGGTCAGTGGTTGTATGAGGGTTGTCTGAGGGTTGGCTGGTCAGTGGTTGTCTGAGGGTTGGCTGGTCTGAGGGTTGGCTGGTCAGTGGTTGGCTGGGGGTTGGCTGGTCAGTGGTTGTCTGAGGGTTGGCTGGTCAGTGGTTGTCTGAGGGTTGGCTGGTCAGTGGTTGTCTGAGGGTTGGCTGGTCAGTGGTTGTCTGAGGGTTGGCTGGTCAGTGGTTGTATGAGGGTTGTCTGAGGGTTGGCTGGTCTGAGGGTTGGCTGGTCAGTGGTTGGCTGGGGGTTGGCTGGTCAGTGGTTGTCTGAGGGTTGGCTGGTCAGTGGTTGTCTGAGGGTTGGCTGGTCTGAGGGTTGGCTGGTCAGTGGTTGTCTGAGGGTTGGCTGGTCAGTGGTTGTCTGAGGGTTGGCTGGTCAGTGGTTGTCTGAGGGTTGGCTGGTCAGTGGTTGTATGAGGGTTGGCTGGTCAGTGGTTGGCTGGTCAGTGGTTGGCTGGGGGTTGGCTGGTCAGTGGTTGTATGAGGGTTGGTCTGAGGGTTGGCTAGTCAGTGGTTGGCTGGTCAGTGGTTGGCTGGTCAGTGGTTGGCTGAGGGTTGGTCTGAGGGTTGGCTAGTCAGTGGTTGTCTGAGGGTTGGCTGGTCAGTGGTTGTCGGAGGGTTGGCTGGTCAGTGGTTGGCTGGTCAGTGGTTGGCTGAGGGTTGGTCTGAGGGTTGGCTAGTCAGTGGTTGTCTGAGGGTTGGCTGGTCAGTGGTTGTCTGAGGGTTGGCTGGTCAGTGGTTGGCTGGTCTGAGGGTTGGCTGGTCAGTGGTTGGCTGGTCAGTGGTTGGCTGAGGGTTGGTCTGAGGGTTGGCTAGTCAGTGGTTGTCTGAGGGTTGGCTGGTCAGTGGTTGTCTGAGGGTTGGCTGGTCAGTGGTTGGCTGGTCTGAGGGTTGGCTGGTCAGTGGTTGTCTGGTCAGTGGTTGTCTGGTCAGTGGGTGGCTAAGGGTTGGCTGGTCAGTGGTTGGCTGGTCAGTGGTTGGCTGAGGGTTGGTCTGAGGGTTGGCTAGTCAGTGGTTGTCTGAGGGTTGGCTGGTCAGTGGTTGTCTGAGGGTTGGCTGGTCAATGGTTGTCTGAGGGTTGTCTGAGGGTTGGCTGGTCAGTGGTTGTCTGAGGGTTGTCTGAGGGTTGGCTGGTCAGTGGTTGTCTGAGGGTTGGCTGGTCAGTGGTTGTCTGAGGGTTGGCTGGTCAGTGGTTGTCTGAGGGTTGTCTGAGGGTTGTCTAGTCAGTGGTTGTCGCTGAAGTGTTGTCTACAAATTGTATTACATATAACGTTATTGATAAACGCTTGTTGAATTATTTCTAAATGAGAAATCTGGTTTTATATTGTTTTAAGAGAAATTAAAAGTTTGTTGTTATAGAAAGTTCTAGACTACCCGTTATTCTTGAATAACCGTGGGTTGCGGGAGTAATCCATAAATGACCTTCACCTCTCGCTACAACATAGTTTGCTCCCCATTTGTGTGTGCATAATCCAAATCGAACAAGTATGTTTAATTTTTATTTTATTTTTTATAGTGCATTTAAAATCTCACTCTTACACATTGGATTTATTTAGTAAATTGTTGATTGTGGGGAATCCCCCGATATTGATCCAACACGCTCTGCTGAGCGTCCCATCTTAAATGGTGCGTGAAAGTCGGCGCTAGGCTACATCAGTTGGCCGTGGCTACAGTGTCTCAGTGGAAGGGTAGCCACAATCTTGTGTATGGTAGCCACAATCTTTTGTATGGTAGCCACAATCTTTTGTATGGTAGCCACAATCTTTTGTATGGTAGCCACAATCTTTTGTATGGTAGCCACAATTTTTTGTATGGTAGCCACAATCTTGTGTATGGTAGCCACAATCTTTTGTATGGTAGCCACAATCTTTTGTATGGTAGCCACAATTTTTGTATGGTAGCCACAATCTTGTGTATGGTAGCCACAATCTTGTGTATGGTAGCCACAATCTTTTGTATGGTAGCAACACACTTTTGTATGGTAGCCACAATCTTGTGTATGGTAGCCACAATCTTTTGTATGGTAGCCACAATCTTTTGGTAGCCACAATCTTTTGTATGGTAGCCACAATCTTGTCTATGGTAGCCACAATCTTGTCTATGGTAGCCACAATCTTTTGTATGGTCATAAACTTTTAGTTTATATTTTGGGGGCGGGTATGATCAATCCTGTACCTCTCTAACAGATGACTTCTCTAATTAATGCTCTTCATTAGGTTCATTCTAAAACTTGCATTGAGTACATTAATTGACTTTTTTATTTAAAAAAAAAATCCTTTAACCACGAAGGTAGAAAATCGATCTAATATTCCTCATATCAAGTAATTACCTGAATGATTTTAAAAATGTAGCTTACGACAGTAATGTGCATGGCTGATGCATTAAAATAAATTGAAATAGATCAATAGCATCCTGCCTGCCTTGATAGCAATCAGATCTTGGAAGCCATCAAGCCGTCAAACGAAAGAAGTCAAGTATGAACAACAGTCTTAAATTACCTTAATTGTCATGCTCTGTATATTATTGTACTTGTCAAGGTGACCTCACGTCAATTTATTGGTCTCAAGGTGATATGTACATAAGTGTACTGGTCAAGTTGACATGTACATAAGTGTACTGGTCAAGGTGACATGTACATAAGTATACTGGTCAAGTTGACATGTACATAAGTATATTGGTCAAGTTGACATGTACATAAGTGAACTGGTCAGGTTGACATGTACATAAGTGTACTGGTCAAGTTGACATGTACATAAGTGTACTGGTGAAGCTGACCTATACATAAGTGTACTGGTCAAGTGAACGGCTAGTGAACATGCTGATAGCATTAATCAACACTCGAATGGACGAATCGTTAGATTAATCTTAAACTACTGTATAACGTGACAGAATAAGTGCTTACATCACATCTGCCTACACCACAGCTGCTTACATTACAGCTACTTACATCAGAGCTGCTTGCATCACAGCTGTTTACACCACAGCTGCTTACATCACAGCTGTTTATATCAAAGCCGCTTACATACCACTAGTGTTACAAGCTGCATCCCACCACAAAGTTAGCTAGAACAGAACAAACTATCGGTACACATCGCCTACAGGGATGATTCAGTTTAGGGCAAATATGAGGGGGGGGGGGGGGTTCTCTGCACCAAATATATAACCGTGCCTAATTTTTCTATTCTTATATATGAGACACAGTTTGGAGGCGTCTTAAAATTTAGGGGGGGGGGGCAGTATAGTACCCCGTCAGCCTCCATCATGATTTGTCAATGACTTGTTTATTGATATTTTACTTGCTTTATTAGCCTAATGCGATCGGGAAGTTCCAATAAAAGCCCTTTCTAAACGTGGTGTAATTCGTGCCTAGAGGGAATTCCCTTTTTCTGCCTGATAGAAATGTGCTTGTTTGACATTGTTTGCTATGAGTGACCTGCGCTGTGCCGTCAATACCTCATGATGTTTGAGATCAATATTAGAATTTAATGAATCGTCAGGTCTAATCATTTTTTTTTACTAGCGCAACTTTACTTTGCCGGTCTTTCATAGTTAATGGAATTTGTGCTGAGTTATAGAAAAATCTAAAATTTGTGTTGAGCTTTTAAAAATCTAAAATTTGTGCTGAGCTTTTGGAAATCTAAAATTTGTGTTGAGCTTTAGAAAATCTAAAATTTATGCTGAGCTTTAGAAAATCTAAAATTTGTGCTGAGCTATAGAAAATCTAAAATTTGTGTTGAGCTTTAGAAAATTTAAAATTTGTTTTGAGCTTTTGAAAATCTAAAATTTGTGCTGAGCTTTTGAAAATCTAAAATTTGTGCTGAGCTATAGAAAATTTAAAATTTGTTTTGGGCTTTTGAAAATCTTAAAATTTGTGTTGAGCTTTTGGAAATCTAAAATTTGTGTTGAGCTTTTGAAAATCTAA